CACAATCTGTCCAAAGTAGATTATAGATTTTGGAATCCTACAAAAATCTAAATGCATCAAACATCAAATCAAATGTCTTCTTTAGAATATATATTTTTATATAAAATAATGTGCTAATAATTGTTTGTGTGATCGTCAGGGCCTCTTTAATCTGGTCATGTTAATTGAAGAGGGTTATGAAGTTCCTGACATCATTCTGGATCAGATGGGACTCTCAGATGCACACAATGTGAGCCGGAGCGCTGTGGTGGCAAATCTATTATCCAGGTTTGTGTGCTCTATGCTGTCTGCCATTTGCTTGTTAGTTTCTCATGTGTTTTTTGGAAGAAAACTCTTCAGCTCTGTAGTTGCTTTGAATCATGCAAAACATGGTGCAAAACAGGTGCATGTTGTGCATTGCTTTGTGAAATATTGTCAAGACCTTTGTGATGCTGTTTCTTTTAACTTTCTACTCATCAAAGAATTTTGAAAAGAAAAAAAAAAAAGTGTCAGGATTTCCACCAAAATATGAAGCAGCACACCTGTTTTCAACATGGATAATAATCAGAAATGTTTCTTGAGCAGAAAATCAGCATATTATACTGATTTCTGAAGATCATGTGACACTGAAGACTGGAGTAATGATGCTGAAAATTCAGCTTTACATCACAGGAATAAATTACACTTTAAAACATATTCAAATAAAAAAGAAAGAGTTATTTTAAATGAGAATAATATTTCACAATATTACTGTATTTTATTAAATAAATGCAGTCATGTTGAGTATAAGGCATTTTATATATAAGAGATAAAACATTTTAAAAAATCTTTTAAAATCATAATATTTTGACGTTATTTTATTTTATTTTGGAACTTGAGTAGATTTAGTATAGTTTCGGTTTTGGTTATGATGTGGATGTTAGGCTACCATATTGTTGGTTAATTAAAATGTTTAATGCTTTTGATTTTTAAATATTTTATATATATATACACTACCAGTTAAAAGTTTTTGAACAGTAAGATTTTTTATGTTTTTTAAAGAAGTCTCTTCTGCTCACCAAGCCTGCATTTATATGATCCAAAATAGAGCAAAAACAGTAACA